CACTGTGTGTGTGTTTGTGTGTGTGTGTGTGTGTGTGTGTGTGTGTATATATATATTTTTTTTTATTTTTTTCGCCGGTTTTATCTGCTGCTGCTGGTCATTTACAATATTGTCCATGTATACCTCATATGCCATTTGCACCTCATCACCAACGCCCTGGTGATGCTAAACCATCTGACAATCTCCTATTATTGTTTGCACTACTGTCACTGACTACACAGTTTTGAGTCACAGCTTATTGACTATCATTTAAATTTATCCTAATTATATCAATCCAGTTCTTATTCTATTCTTTTCTATTTTTATTCTACTTTATTCTATTTTAGTTCCTAAATGTTATGGCACCCAATACTAGGTGAGAGAAACGGTATTTCGATTTTCTGTATGTCCTGCACATATGGTGAATTGACAATAAAATCCCTGAACCTTGAAAACAGGGACTTCAGTGAGTTGACTACTCGTATGCATCAAATACTACAGGCAGGTTAGAATAAGTGTTGATCACAAACCGCTATGTGGTTTGCTAGCCACAATATAGACATTATTACCTGGCTCAGACATCATCTGCACATTACCCTGGTAAGTGTAAAACTACAGCTTTTTCCTGACCAGTCCCTGCACGTCCCTCATAATAAATGTGGAGGTAGTGGTACATTTAGGCCTTTAAAGTTAAACAGCAAGTGCTGACAGTGGCTTTTGGGATCAGCTAACATTACCAAAAACTTAATATTCCTTTGTCAAACTTTAACCCTTTTTACATTTTGGTGCAGAGGATTAAAAACAACACTTAATTGGTTATTTTGTTTACTAAAGTCTGCTTCTTTCCATCTTCTCTGGTGCTGAAGGGGAACATCATGGGTGCCAGTGGCAGGCTGTGAGCGTGTCCAGCACCCATTGGTATGCAACCTGACTGATGCCTTCTCCAACCCAACAGTATCCTACTTTGCTCAGGTTACAGCACTGTTGGGACCACAGTCCTCACTACCTGCCAACCACCCAGAATTTAAACCCATCAAAGACAGTAAGTAGCACTGAAACCAGTAAAACATAATTGAAAGGGATACATAATGAAAATGCATTCCATAGATTTAACTTGAGACCCTGTTCATCTCTTTCAAACAGGCCTGCACAGCATCTCTATTTTGGATTGCCTGATTCTTTTCTATTGTATCAAAGAATAGTTCCTTCATCTTTAGGATCAGCTCAGGATACCTTTATTACAGTGTTTGCTACAAATGAGTGCTATAATTACAGGCTCAGTAAGGTAACGTATTTGTGACTGTTACTCAAAATGTTCAAATCAAATAAAATCTGGCGTATTTATATACCGTAATTTCCGCAGCGGACTATAAGCCACACCCACTAAATGTAAGATGAAAAAACATGTTGTACATAGCCGCAGGTGTCCACGTTGTAACATGAAATATTTCAACAGCCAGATCGATCGCCTGTAACTTGAAGCAGTGTCATAGGCATTTCGTCGTGTGTTGCCCATGATGAGGGTGTGTGCATGAAGCGACAAAAGTAGCGCCTTATAGTCTGGAAAGTACAGTAGCGCTTTTAAAAACCTTGGTAGCAAAGTGCTTTACAAAACAGTAAGTAAAGTGTGGTTGCCAAGGTCTTATGTGAACTAAATTAATTCAGGCAAATCATTCCAATTCCAATGGTCATTTATTATTACAATAATTCTGAGCACTTCAATAATTTGAAAGGCTATTCAACAGTCTGAAAGATAGGGAACAGAACCACCATCTCTGCAGAGAAATAAATAAAAGTATTAGATAAGGGGATTGTCAAAGAGTCAGTCATTTTTGGTAACACAGCACAGTCAGTCCACAGTTGGGCTGTGCTCTCTGGTATATTGTTTTAACTTATTTGCTTTTAACCACTACAAATGCAAATTAAAAACTTAATTTAAAGAATGTAATACATAGATAAGAACAGTTGAAGCATACAAAATTTAGCACACATAAGGTTAATTTATTCAAAATAAACTAAAAACCTTTAAGAGCTAGGCCCTTCAATTCTGGTTGTCACCAAATGCCAGTGTAAATAGGTACGTCTTCACTAAAGATTTAAAAGAATCCGAACTGGAGGCAGTCCTAATATCTTGTGGAAGGCTATTCCAGAGTTTCAACCAAGTTTTGCAATGGCATAATCACCTTTGAGCTTTAAGTTAGATCTTGGCACCTCTAACAGCAACTGATTAGAAGATGTAAGTACCTGCTTGGACAATAGTTAGGAGGCAGGTTGCTGCATTCTGACCCCATTCAAAGAAATCCTTAAACTATCATGTAATACTTTATTTTGTTAATTCTAGCCTTATAAGTCTGGGCTTTTCCAGAGAGCACTAAAGAGGAAGGCCAGCTAACATCTATCTTGGTCACACAAACAGTGCATGTGGCCTTTGATTCCTAGTTAACTGCTTTACAATCCTGTCTATACACTTAGAGCTGGCTACTGCCTGGGTGCATGTAAAAGGAGTAGCCTTCTTGCTTTCATACTTCGCACACAGGTTGCAGCTTCTGGCAACAACACCAACATTATTTATAAGACCTGGCATGTACCAACGGTCTCTGTGAATGAAAGCTGCTGTGGGTACCTTCTCTGCCATGGTTCACTAGTTTTACTCATCAAAACAGAGCAGTAACACATCTGCCTGCAACTGCAACACCTTGTGGGAGACTCTTGGCTTGAGTGCCAGGGTAGAGTGCACACAAGTAGGAATTAGGTTGACAGGCAGGTAGGCCATTTACTGGTTTTGCTTGGGATGAGTAAAATTATTGGTGAGGCATCTACATCAGCGATTATCTCACCAGGACACAACACCAGCCAGCTCCTCACAAAGTACAACAGTTGCTGTACTTCTTGAAGAGGCTGAAGAAATTCAGTATGTCACCAAAAATCCTCAGCAACGTCTACAAATACATCAATAACTGCTTTTACATGCACTTAAGTAACCTGGTTACAATCGGCTTTCTTGAGTAAGCTGATTTCTTAAATGTCATGTAAATGGGAAACCCGGTTTCTGTAAGTGGGTTATGTGAAGCCTGATTTCTAGGTAGATTTCTCTCAGAGAAGGCTGCTTCCTCTGCCATGTATATGCGTAACCACGTTTCTAATCAGCTTTCTACAAGAGTGCATTTACAAAAAACAAGCTTGTTGCACATGTGACTGGAGAAAAACAGGAAGTTGTCACCAGCGTAAATGGAGGATTATCGACTGGGTGAGCAGCAGCAACTCCGCAGACTAGGCAACTACAAAAATGGCAGCTAATGTTGTGATTTGCACACGAAAGATAACTAAAGAGACCAAAATACAGGCTTGATAGACTAGGCCCATCCGTGTTTATGAGAGGATGCAGTCGCATAATGACATCAGGCTTTCAAATTGCAGGCACACCCGAACATCTTTCTGCTTTCAGTTGGCTAGTGGGGGGTGAAATCAGATGACCTGGGAGCTCATATTTTGGGGTTTTTCAGTGTCTTGCCCAAGGACACTTTGACATGTGGACTGCGGGCACTGTGATTTGAACCTTCAACCTTCCGGTAGGGAGACACCTGCTCTACCCACTGCACTGTCGCCTCCCCAAATGTAGGGCATCCAGAGTGAGGAACAGCTTTTACCAAACAACCATCGGACTGTTACATGGGTCATATACTCATTGGCCTTGGCCACTTTTTTGTGGGCCAAGCACGGAAACCATGGAAACAGACAAAAACAGAGGGGGATTCTTCTATTGTTTATCCGGCTCATCGTACGGTATTTTTGCCCCAGCTGACTGAATATTCAGCCGAGTCACATGGTCGTGTACAGTTAGAGCTGAAGCTTGTTTGTTAACACATGGAAATGACAAAATAAACAAAACACCAAGTAGAATCAGAATTAGAACCAGAATCGGCTTTATTGGCCAGGTAAGACGGACACACGAGGAATTTGACTCTGGTACATCAACTCTCTGTGCGAACAGTAAACCAGCATTAGGGCTGTGTAATATAACAAAATAGCAGTATTAACATCAGCAAACAGTGCAAACAATGCAGAAAAAGCAGTATAAACAGACAGTGCAAACAATGCAGACAACAAAGGAATGTTCATTGAAATGAGATAAATAGGGATAAAACAGAGTACTTAAAAAATAGAGACCTGTACAAGTCTCTATAATCTGTATGAGGTATATTTAAAGGTATGGCATTGAGGGTTATTGTCCAATCATACTGTCGTGGGTTAAGTGTTCATCAGAGTGACAGCCTGGGGAAAGAAACTGTCCCTGTGCCTGGTTGTCTTAGTGCATAGTGACCTGTAACGCCGTTCAGAGGGGAGGAGTTCAAACAGATTGTATCCGGGGTGTGAGGGGTCAGCAGTGATCCTCTCCACCCTCCTT